GGTCACCGTGATGCGCACCGAAGTTGAGCATCCCAGTCCCCCAGAGCTGGTCTGCTAATTACATTTGCAATTATAAACACCACAACCTCCCTGCACAGGGACCAGGCCCCACCAGCCGATGGGGTAACCACAATGTAATCCCACCCCAGGCCACCCCAGCCATGCCAGGGGACGCCAGGCCCGGCAGAAGCCTAGGGGCTCCTCCTCTGAGGAATGGCCATGAATTTGACAGCTCCCTGGAGGTACGAGACTGCTGGGACCAAGAAAGGAAGACTCACCAGAGTGGAAGCCCAGTCAGGGGTCACCAGCAGTTGTAGTGCTGAAAAAGATCTTTGATTATCCCTAGAAATCAGCAAATGGCCTCAAGGGCAAACAGGAGGGAGTCGCACCCTTGATGGCTTCCTGGCAGGGTGCATGGACTCTTTACTCAAAGCCCTCTCGTGGGCCCATGCTCCCTCTAGGAATGACAGCGGCTGCAGAGGACATTAGAGGTTGAGCACTCAAGCCATGCTGGGCTCTCCCACAGGAACATTCAGTCAAGAGCCACCAGACCCCAAGACAGAAGCTCCCAGCGGAGCTGTGAAGAGTTCTGGCAGATTCTGGGCCGGCCTCCTGCTCAAGCTGGAAGAGCACGCAGAGGGGCTCACTAGGGGAGAGATGGACAGAGACTGATGATGGCCGGTAGGTGTGGGAAGGCATCGGCATGGGGTACTGAGGGTGTGGGTTGGACATCACTTTGAAGGACTGGATTATGGTCTAAATAATGCTATTCCTTCCCCTTAAATTCACACCACAAGTAATTTCAGTCATGTTGGGGAAGCCACTTCAAGCATCTGGGAAGACAAGTTCTAGAGAAGGGCACTGCAGAACTGCGTCAAAAGCATCCTGTGTCTTGTGTAACTGCTTGCCTGTCTTCTGAATTCTCTCTCCTGAATCGGCTCATTCACACAGCCAACTCCACGGCCCATCCCAATGTACACATTCCCAGTCTCTCTCTCTCTCTCTCTCTCATACACACACACACACACACACCGTTCCTTTGGCCTGCTAGACTCGCGCTGATCTTCCCAGTTCCAAGTGCTCCAAAGAAACAAGGCATTTTGCAGAGGACCAAAGAAGGAGACAAACTTTTTTCCATGAGTTTAGATTATCTTTAAAAAACGAGTTGGCCAGAGGTAGTTATCAGGAACATGAATCCTGCATGCAGGGCAAAGTTGCAAGGGCCGGGGTCCACCCTGAAAAGGCAGGGAGGTGACTCAAAATCTCTATCACGGCCACCTCCCTGGCAGCACTTTCCCCGAAAGTCCCCTCTGTCCCTCCTATCTCAAGCTAAATGGAATATTTATTGATTGCTCCAGATCAACAGAAAGGAAAGTTCCTGTTTGGTGGGTCAGGTTGTTTCTTCATACATATATTTTTAAAGAAACATCTTTTCCTTAAATTTTGGTAAAACAGAGGATTGTTCCTAAAATGGAGTTGGGGAAATCATAAGCTCCAAGAGGAAATTTCCAGTTGGTGTCAGGATCTCACTGAGCTGGAAAGGGCCTTCCCTGCGACTGGGGCCCTCCACACCAACCTGTTTCCGCCTAACTCACTGCCTTCAGACCTGAACAAGTCCAGCCTCCCATCACCCCATCATCCTCTCCCACAGCAGCCCACACCTCCAGGAGGGTGGCGGGCACATCCAGGTTTATTTCCTAAGGCCCCTCCCTTGGAAAACCAAGACTAATGTCCTCATTCTGATTTATTTTTAAATGTACCATTAAAAATTAATTTCCCCTTTGTTTTTCTCTGGGTCACTGATTCTGAATTACCATGTGGCATTTCTTCCTACGTGTGAACCCACATATTTTACCTTCAGGACAGTTTGTTCTTTGTTTCTTTAACAACAGCAAAGTGGTCATTGGAAGGTGGGTGAGGCAACCCGCCAACCACCCCCCACCCCCCCGCCCCCACCTCTGCTCCCTGGGTTTCCAAGCCGAGGGTCTCCAGCCAGTCGGGTCACAGACACATTTGTACACAGGCACATGCAGGCCAGCACACCCACTCCTACCCTGGCTGATTATATATGTACATAAAATATTGATTAGAAATGGTAATGGAGTCACCTACAGGAAAATGAAAATGAAGGAGAGAAAGGTATGAAGGTATGATGTATCTGTGGTGTGTGTGTGTGTGTGTGTGTGTGTGTGTGTGTGTGTGTGTGTGTTAATTTCTCACCTGGGAAAGTGAGAATAACACTAACGCATTAAAAATGCTCTCTGTATGTTAGCAAGTGAGAAGAAGGGCTAGGGAGTTCTTTCGCGCTGAACTGTGGTCCCTGTGCCCTTGGGTTTTCTTAAGTCCGGGAATGTCGACTAAGCCACATGGGTGGAAACCACGTACAGAGCATACGAACCCATTCACGCATATGTTCCCCGAGAAATACCAGCACTATTGGCAATGAACGGATTCATCCTACTGTCCTTCCAACACACCAAAGAACGCAGTCCCCGGTTTTGTTACTTTGCTACCAGTGGCTCTAAAGCTACTTGACATGAAGCCCGGGTGGCAGGGGCGGGGGGCCGAGGTCAGAAAGATGCCTCCCCTACACTCCGGCCTCTGACCTCCACAAGCTCGACCTTGGAAATTCCGTGTCCCTGCACCACAACAGATGCAAACGCTCGCCCAGAGGCACACATCTGTACACGGGGCCAGCTCCCCAATGCTCGGGCTGCCACCCAGCAAGCACGTCCTGGGCTTTGAGAAATGGCATCTCACACGGATCCTTAGTTCCTCAGTGGAGTTGCCGGGTATGTTTCTGGCTTTTCCGGTGCCCCATGGAGTGAGAAGTGAATTCTTTGCAAAGAAACCAGGAAGGCTAGGGAGCCCAAACTACTGTCAGGCTTACTTTATGAATGATTTCCACTTCAAACCCGTCCCAGACACCCAGGACCTCGGCTTCCTCATCCCCCCTTTCTGCTTCCCTGACATTCCCTCTTTGCCCATATTTCTCCTCAAACTCAAGCCAGGGTTGCTGTCACCTCGATGAATTACCCAGCTGCTAAACCCTCCATTTCTCCTTGCTTTTCTGGTCAACGTAATCAAAGGATGTACTTCCCCCGTTCGAATTTTCATATTTACTGGCTATGACTCGAGCCAGGGACAAATACATAGATATTTCCAGCTCAGCTAAAGAAGTCACCTCTGAAGAGAGGGAGCCTAAATAATTTAAAGATCCAATATTTGTCGTACTTGGTAATTTTATGTGAGGAAATGCCCCACGAGCATCAAACATTGTTCACAGCCTCACTTACCCACCCAGAGGTTTCTTTGACGGCTCCCACCCCCTGCTTTAGGAGGGAGCGTCTTAGGGCACTACCCCCATCCTCACCCCACCGGCCTCATAACCCGGGATCAGTGTAACCTTTAAAGAGAACGAAGAGACACTTTTCGAGCAGATGGAAATCTGAATCCATTGTAATTAAAGATTGCTCGCCTCTCCCATCCCAAATCATCTTCTTCCGACACTCTGGCGGCACCTAAAGGACCCACTGCCCAGGGAAATCCTAAAACTAGAACCAAAAAGGTCAGCGTGGAGACTGGGACAGTCTGGTCATCGACAGGAGACACTGCTGTGAAGTTGCCTCCTCTCTTCCGCGTGGTCCACCGGGGTGGAGGCGGTCTGTGCAGCGAAGAGGGGTCTAAGCACAGTTCCTGGAACCCCACATGATCCAGTGTATTTATCTCAGGGATGTCGCGGTTCTCGGGATGGGGTACAAAAATGAAAGCACGGTGGAGCGGGCACTGACTTTGGTAGTTTAGTTCGCTTCAGAGAAAAAAGAGGAAGAGGAGCACCAAGTTAAGCAGGTCCGCGAAGAACGCAGACTTTCCATCTTATTACTCTTTTAAGCCTTCCGAGGGACCACTCTGCGCGCGCCCACACGTAGACGCCGGGACACCAGCCGCGAGCGCGGCGGGACGCGGGGCGCGGGAGGGGAGAGCCGGGCGGGTACCGAGCGGGTGGGGGCAAGTGCGCGGAGGGCCCTCGGAGGGAAACCGCCGGTGGCCAGAGCAGGACCCCGGAGAACCCGGGCCGGACACGCCGCTCCGGGGGATCAGGTCCCCGCCTGCCCACTCTGCGCGCTTGGCGCACCGCCCAAGCCCGGGGCCAGTGGGAGTCCCGTCCCGCAGCCCCCTCCGCTGCCCACGCCCGCGCCGCTCGGACAACCCCGGGATCCCGAAAGGCGAGCGCGAAGCCGCCCCGGGGCACGGAAATCGCGCCCGCCAGTTCCGTCGCCCGCAGCCTCCCGCAAAGCCGCGAACCAACTTTGCCTCCGCCGCGGCACCCCCGGGCCGGCTGTCCCCACCCTTGGCGGGATGCGGGATCCCCCTCGCAGGGCGTGCGGGACGCAGTGCGCCCGGGGCCGCGCCGCCCACACCGCTGGAGCGCCCCGGATCCACCGCGCCCCGTGCGCGCCCTCGGGGCGCCCCAGCGGGACCGCCGGGCAAGGCAGCGCTGGGCGCCAGCAGTTCCCAAACCCGCGCGGCACGTTCGATTTCGCCCCCTTGCCGGGATCATTTCTGCTCTTCAGTACGGAAATAAATCTTAAAGTCAAAGGGCCCCCCGGGGGAGGCTTTCTCAGACGGGCCAGAACATCCTTGCGACATTCCCGCACCTGTTCTGGGCTGCTCCTCCCTAATCCACAGAAACTCAAATATTTTCTCGCCGCGGGGGCAGATCAGCGAGAAAGAGTGAGCGAGAAAGAGCTGCTCTTACTTAAAAGTAAGGGCTTGGAAAAGGGGGTGCGGGAAAAGTTAGAGGCGGTTTACCCCCGCCCCAGAAGGAAACCCAGGAAGTGTGCGGCTTTCCCCCTCCGACGTCCCCCAAGCGCCCCCGGGGTTCCTGCCACTTCAAAAATGCCTGGAAGGAGAACTGCGACACCCAGGACAGAGGCACCCGGACTGGCAGAAGGGCAGACAGATCGACCGACCGACCAACCGAGAAACAGAGCACCTACTGGTTGTGGTAGCCGAGGGGGTCCGGGATGCAGAGTTCTGACACGTCCATCAGTCCCGTTTTAGCATTCCCAGTTGGTAGAGAAAGGCGGCGGGGAAATCACGCGGAAGAGCGAGTGAAGGGCACAGGCGAGGTGCGAGTCCGGGCAGGGGCACAGTGAGCGGGAGAAGGCAGAGTGGGAGGAAGCGCCGTGGCGGGGCGAGAGGGAGGCAGAGAGCCGTGCGCGCACAGCCCAGCGCTCCCACTCGTGCACACACTCCAGCGGGCAGAGGGGACGGGAAGCCGCGGAGGAGGCTCGGGCACCAGAGACTTGGAGCCCACTAACCCTACTGTAGCTTTAAGGCTGGGAGACTGATGTATGGTTTGGCTCCTATTGGCTATCTCTCAGGGGCTGGACTTAAAGTGACAGAATCGAGCTGGGGTGGGGGGAGGGGGGTGAGCCAGAGAGACTTCAATGGAAATCAGACGCTCAGGCGAGGTCCCCACCTCCTGAGGAGTGAGAGGACTGAGCTGTAGAGCGGCAAGGCCTGTCCTCTGGCCATTAAAGAAAAAAAAATTGTCCAACTGGCTGGTGGGATTGGGGGGTTGACAGATGTGCTGTTTATATAGCCCCCCCCCACCAGCATCCTATCCTTTAACTGGCAGGCCTAGCCAAACTCCCCCCGCCCCCACCCTCGCTCAGCCTTTTAGAATGGGTCTGTTTTACAAATTAAAAATGAGTCACAGTGCTCCACTCTCACACCCAGAAGAGGCCAAGGCCCTAGAAATTCACAGCCTCAAGACCTGTGTTTGGTGCACAAAAGTGCAAAGGGTCAGGTCCACAGGTGAGGCACGAAGGAGAGAAGCAGATTCCCTTCCCAGCTCTCATCACCTGGGCCAGTTGGTTCTGAACCGCTCTCATATGGCTAGATGCAGGGTGTGCATCTATAAAATGCTCTCTAGATGTACAAAATGATGCTCTTCATTGGCAACTCTCAGAAATGTACCTGGGACGCAGACGGGAGCAAATAAATCCCTGCCTGCTTAGGAAAACACAATTGTGGTTAGAACAACCAACTTACCTGCCACATGGTACTTCGAGGCACGCAAGTAGATGCTTCAGCATACACACCTGAATCCCCAGCTACGAACACACCTGCATCCCTGTCTGCTGCTCCATCCATGAACCCGAATATTACGGGCTGCCTCTGTACTAAAACAAGCTATAAGTCATGCCCCAATCCTTCTTCTCGGGCTTTTCATCTTTTGAGATGTGCAAGCCACAGAGAGATAATAATGTGAGAATTCAAATGAGTGTGGGAGGGGATAGGTATAGAATTACTTAAAAGGGGGGGAAGCCCCCAGGAGAGACCACCACCTTATTCTCCTATATTCTACAGCAGACAATTTGGGGGGAAGGAGACATAATTTTATCATCCAAATAAGGTCTAAATGGAGTGTAACTGCAGGCAGTATTCAAGCACTTCAGGAGTAAAAGCAGGGAAGGTGGTGAGAAACCCCAGGAGGGGCCAGGCGCTCCAGGGGGCCGGGGAATGGGCAGCGGGACCACAGATGATACTTGACTTGGATAAATGTAAGCGCGTGCAGGCTGGGAAACAGAGCTGAGATTTTTCATATGTGCTGAAGTGGAGGAACGCATGGGATTCTCCGGGCTCGGGGCTCAGGCAGGCATCTCGCGGAGAGATGGATGAAGATGTCTGCTCTGTCAGCAGAACCCCCAGCAGCCCCGGATTTTTTTTTAATCACATCGGTACTTGGTTGTATTAGAGATGGAAGCAGGGTGTAGAGCCTCTGTCCTTAACCAGGGCCTCTACACAACGACCACCTCTTGCCAAGACCTCAGTGACTGGTTTCTCTGTGTCCTTTCCAGCCCCCTGAAATACCTTTTCCAAGCGCCCGGCAGCCAGGGAGCTCACTGGAAAATGCACACGGTCCCGGTCCTTCCCTTGGCCCCACAAGGAAGCCTCACAGGACAGACTCCTATGTGTCTCTCTGTACCCCTCCGTATCCCGCGCCATACTGCCCTGTCTTTGCACCTGCTACCTAGAATTCCCCACCTTCTGGGCCCCACCAGAACCTTTGCTACTCAGTTTGCAATTATATATATATTGGTATAATACCCCCCCCCACACACACACACTAAATTATAAGCCCTATGAGGGTAGGGACCATGTCTGTTTTTGTTTCCCAGAGAATCCCCAGTGAGTAATGGTGCCTGATACAGAGAAGTTACTTGAAAAATATTTTGTTGAACAAATCGAAGCATGGCAATTTGGGGTGGGCCTGCTGAGGGACAGGCTGGCTGTCCCAGAAGGGGGGTTAGGTTGTGTGGGATCAGTGGCTCCTTGCTCTGTGTGGGCACACCAATTTTAACTGGAGACAGAACACACTTGGTAGAACATGAAAAAAAAGACAACTTCACAGCCCCGGGCAGTGGATTCAAAGCCACCAGGGGCAAAAGAGGGTAAATACTGAGTTTCGTTGGTGAAAAAGCGAGGCTAATGCCCACACACAATCACTGTCTGCATCTAAGGTATGAGGAGGAAGTAGCTAAAGGCCTCTCTCTGGATACTGGATGATTGCCCTCCAGAGGGGGAATGAGGTCCTGGGGACCCCACTTCCTCCTTCTCCTCCTCCTCCTCCTCCTCCCCCCCCCCCACCCCGTGCCTGTCCAGCCACCTCACCTACAGCCCTGAGGTGAGGCCAGGGAGCCCGTAGACCAGCAAGGACACCCTGGTGACCTCATGTAGCCTGGCAGGTCCAGCTTTTCCTGTGGTTCTCCAGGCAAACTTGGTGGTGGGTCCTACATTGTTCCTGGGACCAGCCTCTCTCCACTCTGCCCTCACCCAGCTCACAGAGGAAGGTATTTCCTCCCAAAGCCAGGGTCTGGTCCCACGCCTCTAGCTGGACAGATGGCAGTGCTGGAGAGTGCAGCAGACTCCAGCATGTGCTCCTGACATCTCCATGTGACCTTATCAAGGTCTCTCTCCTCCAGAACACAAAGGTGGGGGGCAGGGGGAAGTGGAATGAGTGGGCAGGGCTCTTGGGTTCCATCAACCCTGAAATTCATTCAACCAGTTATCATTTCATTCTTGCACCGTTCACCTAGAGCAGGTGCAATGTGTAACCCATCCCTAGCACCAAGGTCTAAGCCACCCACCCCTTCGCTACCTTGCGTCCCAATCCTGGCGCCCCCAGATGGGCATGTCAGCCAAAGGGGACTCTGGAACAGAAGGCATTAGAAACAGTAATTGTGGATGGTGTAAGGGGACAGCAGCTCACTTAGTTCTTGTGACAAACTCCTCTAAATAGATATTTATTACATTTACAGAACCGTACAGCTGAGAGGGACTTGGAGAGTCATTTAGAATCACCACCAGACTTTACAGATAAGGAAACTCAGACATTTCCCTGTGTGGAGAAGTGACCGACACAGGGTCACACCGTGAATAACGGGCAAAGCATGCCGTCTTTGGTGCCTGGATTTCTACTTATTCAACCCCTAAACCTTTGTTCACGTGTCTCTTCACTTTCTCTCCCTACTCCTTCCCTGAGTCCAAGCTCGTTGCTAAGGAATATGAGGCCAAATCAGAACAGTGCCACTGGCATCACCTTCCACACACACTTCTCCGCCGGGTAGGTGGTGGGGACCAGGCAGATGTGTCCACACCCTTCCCCACCTGGTTTCCTGGGAGAGAAAGGAAGCACTGATTGGTGGGACACCAATTTCTTGACCTGCTGTCCTGCCGTGAGAAATGCTCCAGCTGGCAGGTTAAGTAGGAAAATGTACCCAGACACAGCCTGGCCCACCCTGTTCCTCAAACCGGTGTTCCCCCAGGAACAGAAGGCACCAAGTGGAACACGGATCCACGCTGACCAGCCACTCTTACCCATCCCAGTCTGGCTGAGCCCTGAAAAGGGGCCGTCCGAATGCCCGCGCCTGGAGCCCAAAGGCCACCTGAGTGACCTTGATCTCTTGCCATGATCTCTGCAGCTGACCCCCGCATGGCACCCCCGCCACGAGTCTGGTGGAAATCCCCACCTTTGGTGGAGCCTAGTCTTGGGGTGTCTCTTCCCACTCTTACGGCAGCCCCCCCCCCCCGACACCCGTCATCTCTGCACACGTGAGGCAGCAGCCGGCAGTATCTCTCGGGTTCTCGAATCCCCTCCCTGTGCTGTACTGCTCCGAGCCCACAACAAGAGGCTGCTTTTCCCGTCTTCAAGCAGGGTAACTTAGAAGGAGCTGGTGAACTCAGCGTGGGCCCTGGGGGAGCAGAGGGCTTGATGGCTTCATCACTAAAAGATAAGAGCCAACAAGAGGTTTTGGAGTCTGCCACACACTCCCTAAGTCCAGTGAATGGGGGACACTGTTTGGGTTACTCCATCCCTGTCCCCCACCCTCACAGTCCCTGAACCCGCATTTCCAGGCGGGATGACGCCTTAGGAAACACACAAGGTGCATAAGCACTTCTTACCAGCAGCCCGGGAAGGAGGAGAGGACTCCGTGGAACCGTCTGAATCACAGTCCGAGCTTGTTTCTGATCCACCCCAGGGTAAGGGCCGGGGGAGGCGAGTCCAGGAAGTGCATCCATTGACCATCCACGAAGTCTAAGGTGGGCCCGGCCTAGACAGTGAGCCTAACTTGTGCGTCTCTGGGGACAGTACTGACCGGGCCAGGGCTCCATGGACCCCTGGCCAGGGAAAATGTCCCCAACCACACACCTCTTTGGGTCCCTTCCCTTCTCACATGCTTGAATTTGGGGTGTGGAGTTATATTCCTGAGTGGTGGTCAGCAGACTGTTAGCCCATTGGCTGGCACATGTCCCACGGATCATAATTAACTGATAACGCTAATACAATGTGAGTTTGTGCTCCCATAATAGTCTCCTGCTGACAGATAAATGCTGCGGAAACATGATGGCTTTTCCTGAAGCTGTAATGGCCCATTATTGGGGCAAGAAGGCTCGTGTATATTAGCACTGCCGCCATGACACCGAAGATAAAATATGAAGGGGCGTCTTGAGTGAGTAAATGCTTGGGTTCCCGCCTACGACCGCCATCCATTTCATTATCAGAAATCCCTACTGGGGGTCTTGGAATAGCTTCCAGATACTTCAAAGTTCCCGTGGTTTTTTTTTTTTTTTTTTCTGAGCCTCAAGATACCATTCTCACTAACACAGCTAAATAGTATATTAAAGTTCTCTATCAAAAAGATTCCTTCTTCCGGCAGGTCCTATGCAAGATGGCAACTGCAGTGAACAGGTGGGCTGGTGAGATGAGGAAGGTGAGATACGTCTCTCCACAGAAACAAAGATCTTTTTCCCTTCTAATGGGC